GGATTTCATTTTCCCCCGTTAATAGGAGATGCGCGTTTCATTAAAATTATAAAGTGAAACCTATAGAGGACGCGCGTTTAATATAAAGCGCCCTCCGTGTTTTTTTTTCTTGAGACACTAATTTAAGGGCACGCAATAATGCAGGACATAAATCTTTAAATTTTTTGTAGAGATGACACTATTTTAAGGTCACTCTCTTTTGCGTAACATAAATCATTGTGTGTCGTGGTTTGCGTGTCATTAAAGGCATATATTCTAGTAGTGTATATTCCATGTTACACTAATATTATCATAAACTTTTTGGATGCTTGGTGCAATGGTGTTGACTTTAGTCATCTAAATTTTTTTTAACAACTGAATATTTTATCAAAAAAGTTAGCAAAGAGCTAACACATACTAACAAAGGAATGGAAAAACCATGCAATCCGACTAATAGAAAGCTTTTTATTTCTAAAAATAAATCAAATGTAGGATTAATTAATCAAAGTATCAATCAACATACTCCTTTTCATCTTTTGACCACTAAAAATGATATCATTTCTGACATCTCCAATAAAAAATATTTACTTTACGAGAGACATTTTATTATATTTGGTAGAATAATAAACATTGGAAAGAGATATATCATCAACAAGTCTACGGGCCTCTGAAACGATGAACTCATCAAACCGCCAACATCCCACACCTACTTATCTCTACAATCTCAAAAAAAAAAAAACAAACTGAATAATAATGGGCAAGACCAATTCCAATTCCAATCAACACTATTCCATCTTTGATTAATAAAACAGTCTTTATCAGTCTCTAATATAAATAGTTTCCAAAACCACACCATCAAAGGACTATCACCAATCCACTTATCTTTCCAAAAGAAGTACTCATTCCATTACCAACTTTTCGAATAATCACATCGCTCGAGGTTATTCTGGTATCATGAAGTTGATTGATTGTACCAACGATCGAATGCCAAACTCCTCTTTTCAGAACCGAACCATCATTCCAACCAAAACCATCATGTCTACCATGTAAATACTTTAACACTTTAACCCAAATTTAATCACAATCAACCTAAAAACACCACTTTCATTTAAGTAACAAAGATTTGTTAAAAGCTTCCAATTAACCAATATACGAAACCACTTTTTGTTTATTGGCTAAAATAATCTCCCATTTAACCCAATGTAATTTATGTTCACCTTCACCATCTCCCAAAAAACACCTGCTCTAACCTTCTCAATATACTTTTTTTTTACCAGATTTGGCATGCAGAAAAGAGACATATAATAGATTCCTAAAGAACCTAACACCAAATTTAGTAGCATAACACGACCCCTATGGAAAGTAACTGAATCTGCCAAGAAGCAAGTTTCTTTTGAAACTTATCTAAAATGATCTTCCAAGCATTAAATTGCGGCATACAAGCACCAAACGGGAGACCTAAGTAAGTAAAAGGCAATTTGACACTTTTACAACCTATAAGTAAAGCAAATTGATCCACCCCCTTTTACGAGACACTAATCCCAAAAATATTAGATTTCAGAAGATTAATTTGAAGTCCAAAAACCATATAAAAGCATCGCAAAACACTAATCAAATTCACAATATTATCACAAGACCATTCTTAAAAATATATAGCATCATCAACATAAAATAAATTAGAAAGAAGAATACTCTCGTCGCCAATATGAATGTCACGGAAGATATTAGCTGCAACTGCATCTTGAGCAACAACATGCAAAACTTCCATTGCCAAAATAAAAAGAAAAGGTTATAACGAATCACCTTGTTTCGACCCATGTTTTATAGGTAACTCACAAGTCGGGTTGTCATTAATAAGAATAGAAGACCGACTATTACCCAAACAATCTCAAATCAAATCTATCCAAAACTCTGAAAAACCCATGAATCCCAAAACTTGGAAAAGAAAGTCCCACAAAATCGAGTCGTACGCCTTCTCAAAATCAACTTTGAAAATAATTAGCTTTTTTTCTTCATCTTGCACCAATCAACCACCTCATTAACAATAAAAGCCCCATCCAGGATTTGTCTTCCTTTCACAAAAGTAGTACGCACCGATCCTACCACTGAGTCGACAACTTTGGCTAAACGAAGGGGTAACGATTTGGCAATAATCATATATTGAATACCAATAAGAGTGACCAGTCTAAAATCTTTAACAATCAACGGGTTATCAATTTTAGGAATCAACGTGATAAAAGAAGAATTACAACCCGTGGGAATAGGATTTGACTTAAAAAAGAAAGCGTCAAACTGAAATGTATCTTCATGAAGAATATCCCAATACGTCTTAATAAAAGATAAAGAAAATTGTCCTAACCCGACGCCTTATCACTACCACAAGCCCACACCACAACACAAACCTCCTCATATTTGGAATAACATCTAGAAACTAAGCTTGATTCAGATTTAGAAGCCTAAATCGAGGACTAGGATTGGAGATTCGAATCCCGTGAAACGAATCAAACTTTTCTTTATAGAAATTAAAAAATTAATCCTTTACTCTATCTGATTGCGTAACCCATTCATCATTCACATTAATACCTTTAACATTATTCTGACAATGTTTCTTCTTGAGCAACCCATGAAAGAACTTTGCATTTTCATCACCTTCCACCGGACATTTCAATTTTACTTTTTGAGCCAAATCACTAACCACTATTTTCTCCATCTCACGAAGTCGAGATCTAAGATTATGACTCTCAACTAAGAGCTGTTGTGAGCCATAACCATGCCCAAGAGTTTATCGATCTCACAAAGACGTTTTTCAATAGACTGGTTCTCATTTTTGGCAGCTAAATTAAAAACCCGAAGCTAATCTCTAATCCTGAATTTTAAGAACTTAATTTTATCCTTAAAATAAATAAAAGGATTAGCAGAAATATCACCCTGAAAATTAGACCAAGAATCACGAACAACTTCATCAAATCCCTTCAACTTGAGCTAAGAATAAAAAAAACTTGAAAGGAGATGGCCCGTAATTAACATTCCCTTTCGTCAAAACAATGAGTTTATGATCTGAAATAGACCTATCAAGCGTAATATCCACCAAACTGTGAATCTATCAACCATCCCTTCCAAAACCAAGAATTTGTCAAGTTTACGCATTTAATTTCCACTTCTAGCACATCGAGTAAAATTAAAATCACTCGTTGGAATATCAAACAAGTCATTATTAATAATAAAATTATTGAAATGATCTGTTGAACTTTGACAAAACATTGACCCCGTCTTTCTTCAGGACATATGACAATATTAAAATCACCAAATATATATATATATATATATATATATATATATATATATATATATATATATATATATTTATTGTTATGGATTACAATTCATAAATCCAATAAAAAAACCCAAAGAACAAATTTGTCATCTAAAATTTATGAGAACAAGAAATTGCCCTTTCCCCGCTTTGCGGTAGATATATATTTTTTAAACACATTGATCGTTTCTATAAACAAAATATGCATGGGGACTTTTCTATAAAGTATAGGGACAAATTTTATAATTTATTTTCTACCAAGGGACCAAATTTGGCAGCATACGAAAGTATTAAACAGAATGACCGTTTTTGTAACAAAAATCTATGTAGGGACCTTTTCTGTATATTATATGGACAATTTTTGTAATTTGTTTTGTGACAAAACTTGTCAAGGTGTTGTGGCCAAAGTGAATGTTCCACATAAAAATATCAAAGGTACAATTATTTTAGACTTAAAGTCATTTGTGGCCAAAATATGAAATAAAAGCCTTTTGTTTGTGGCCAAGATGTAAAATAAGAAACTTTTGTGGTGAAAATATGAAACTATAAAAATATACTATTCTTAAACCAATTTGTTTAATATATGGTATAATTTTATATAGATGTATAGCAAAGTCGAGGTTCCAAAACCAAAGTTTAAGGATTTTTTTGGGGTCGACATTGATAATTTAATAACTAACTAGTAAAGAACCCGCGGCTATGCCGCTTTTTGGGGTAATATGGAAAAAATCGGCAAACTTTAAAAGATATGTGCTGAAATTGTAAATCACCATAAATAGGGAAGAAAGTCGACAACTCCTAAAATTAGATGTCAAAAGTGTACAACGAAAAAAGGAACACTGGTGGAGAAAATCCAAAATGTTGTGGCAATAATATTAAAGTTGTTAACGTTGGGAAAATATGTTGGCAAAATTTTAAAGGAGGTTTTTTTGTGTTTTTTATGTCAAAATGTAAAACTTTTGACTACAAGGACAAAAAGTGTCAAATTCATTAAAGAATTGTGGCAAAAACACCAAAATGTAATACCTTTGAATATAAGGACTAAAAGTGTCAAAGTCATTAAAGATTTGTGGCAAAAACCTTAAGGCACAAAAACTTAATCAAAAGGCAAAAATGTAAAAATTTTGACTTAAAGTTGTTAACGTTGGGAAAATATGTTGGCAAAATTTTAAAGGAGGTTTTTTTGTGTTTTTTATGTCAAAATGTAAAACTTTTGACTACAAGGACAAAAAGTGTCAAATTCATTAAAGAATTGTGGCAAAAACACCAAAATGTAATACCTTTGAATATAAGGACTAAAAGTGTCAAAGTCATTAAAGATTTTTGGCAAAAATCTTAAGGCACAAAAACTTAATCAAAAGGCAAAATGTAAAAATTTTGACTTTAGGGACTAAAAGAGTTTCGAGTTCAGCAAACTTTTGTGGCAAAATCCTAAAGCCTAAAAGAATACTATTCCTAAGCTCCTTTGGATTTAATATATATATATATATATATATAATTTATACAACCCCATAAATAAATAAATAAATAGATAAATAGTCATTGTATCGCCTCCAATGAAGCTTCCTGGAAGCTCACTATGCCTCTCCCTCCATTCCTCCATTTAACCAACCCCACCTTCCTCTCTCCTTCTGCACATCAACTTCTTTCTCTCTCTCATTCTCACTCTTAATACCCACCACATTCTTATTGCCCAATCGCTGCAATCATGAAAATCTCCGGCAAACTCAACCCCAAACATCTCTTCCGATCAAATAAAAGCCGTTCGGTTTCCAGATCTGATCCATCCTCTTTCGGTTCCTACGCCACGACGTCCTCTACTTCGCCGGAGCCCAGCCATGGCCACCACAAGTCCATGTCAAGCGGTGTTGCTACTCCAACCAGCGTCCTGCCTAGGCACTCGAATTCGCACTCGCACGAAATATCTTCCGAGTGGTCCGAGAATTCTACCGACGTACAGTTTGAGTTGGTGCAAGCGTTCAGGTTTATTGACAGCGACGGTGACGGAAGGATAACGAGGGAGGAGCTCGAGGCTGTTTTGAACCAAATCGGAGGATCCGAACCTCCGATCCGGGAGGAGCTAAGCCTGATGTTGAGTGAACTCGATAGAGACGGCGACGGTATTATTACTCTGGAGGAGTTCGGAGCCATAAGCTCCGCTTTTGGTCCGCCGGCTTGCGATACTGAGCTGAGAGATGCTTTTGATTTTTTCGACACCGATCGCGACGGGAAGATCACGGCGGACGAATTATTTGCGGTGTTCAAGTCGATTGGGGACGGGCGGTGCACGTTAGAAGAATGCAGGAGTATGATAAGTAGCGTGGATAAGAACGGAGACGGGTTCGTGTGCTTCGAGGACTTTACGCGTATGATGGAACAGCAAAGATGAAGAGGACATGATTTGCTTTTCCAAGTTTTTTGGGGTTAGATGATGATGATGACGAAGATGATGGAATTAAGCTGTTAATAGATGATTATGAGTGTGTTCAAGGGTTTTTAGTTAGAATCAATGTTGTATTGTTGTTGTTATAATATAACTTATAATATTGCGCAGAATCTGTGTGCTGGTCGCCGTATGTTTGTTTGTGCGTATTTGCTGTGTTGATCAAAAGCGTTTGGCGGATTGCCTGCCACTTCCCACTTTCTCTCTCTCAATCCCATAAAAACACTTGTTTATGGATTGTCAGAAAAACAAAACATGTCTTGCTAGTTTTTAATTCAACAGAAAACCACAAAAACATTTAAAACGAATTAAGGATTTTCCAAGAATTAAAAAAACTATTAATCATATTTTGAAAATAGATCAATTTCACATATCATATCTAAAATTGGAATTAAACCTGCAACATCATCAAAACTAAGTTGTTTTAAACATGCAACATCATCAAAACTAAGTTGTTTTCAAATAACCGTAAAAAATTTCCCCCGTTCTCTTATTCAATCAAGCAACAATAACTAGAAATACTCTCAAACTGATCACCTCCCCCTTCACGATTTGAAATGTTATGGGTTTACTTAAGTTGTTTTCAAATAACCGTAAAAAATTTCCCCCGTTCTCTTATTCAATCAAGCAACAATAACTAGAAATACTCTCAAACTGATCACCTCCCCCTTCACGATTTGAAATGTTATGGGTTTACTTAAGCCATGGAAAACCCAAATGAGTTATTCTGTAAACTCTGTCTTTGATCAAAACACCACTGACATGGAGCGTCAGCTTCTACAATTCTGATATCGATGAGAAATGGAATAGAACTCAAAAAAATGGAGTCATGGGAGGGAGTTAAAGGAAAGGGAACAAACCATCAGCTCCATTTACACCATCAATTGATTCTGAAGACGTCCCTATTAGTGAGTTTTTTTCGTGAGTGGAATCGTTGATATGGCGGACCTGAATCCATTTCTCTTACTTTTCCTATCTCTAAACTTGCTCCATTTGTTTCATACGTTCTTTGACAAAGGTTGTGAACGTTATTCGGGTCAACCCCTTTTTCGATTTTAATTTCTCGTTCTTTTTCAATCATATTCTTGTTTTGTTGTTGAATGAACCGATTCTTTTGTTGTTTGATTCACGTTGTAACTATTTCTTGCTTTATTTTTATTGATCATGAAAGGGTATGGATGGAAATTCTTACTCCACTTTTGATTTTAGAAATTGAAATACTGATACTTTCGTATTCCAATTTTCCATTGATTCTAATAGAATTGGATGTAAACAAATCTATGATTTTGTGAAAGTGAAGGAGTTGTACTTAGAGATGGTTGGGAGTAAAAAATGATAAACACATTTTACATGAAAATCCAACTTAGATTTATGTTTATGGTAGACTCTTGGATCTAGGTTTGGCAAAAAAAAGGTATAATTTAAATGATGGTATAATTGTCACTAAACATAAATATCAGTGGATTGGATAAAAATATCTCTGTGAAAAAATGAGCCCCCATGCGAATCTAATGCGTTCTATTAATTTTGTTGTGTAAAAACTTTAAATTTCATATTAATAGTTTACTTCTTTTTACATAAAAGAAAAACTTCCAAATCCTCTCTCTCTCTCTCATGTGTGCAAAAGTTGAGTTATAGTTGATTTTCTCACTGAAAAATAAGAATTCCACAGGTGCCTACGAAATTTTATTTTCAGTTGGACATGATGATTTCACATGTGACACTTCCAAAATTACACCTTTGTTACTGTGAGTCCTACCAAATATAAGGGTTGTTTAAGTAGATATGGGTTGGTAACTTGAGGTGGTTCTGAATGATGGTTGTTTAAGTAGATACAGAATAGTAACTTGAGGTGGTTCCGAATTTAATTGTTTAAAATGTGTTGCTCAAAGTATCAACTAATATGAAGTAAACAAGCTCTCGTAGCATATATCATTGATGATCCCAACAATAGTTAGATAGGGGTTGTAATAAGTAAGTATTTATTAGTGTGTTAACAGCTCGTGTGAAAACATTTCAGAGACTAATATTTTACGTGAATTGTTGACAAAAAAATATATATTCATGAATTTTTTAATATCAGTTATTAACTATATTTTTAAAAATGTGGAATTCATATATATATATATATATATATATATATATATATATATATATATATATATATATATATATATATGATCTGTTTGTTTTATAAAAAATTATGAATTGAATATATTCACCTAACATTGATATAAATAAATTCAACCAACATCACCTAACATTTGTATTTGTTAATCCACATAATTTTATCTTTCCATCAACCAAAATCATTCATCCATTCTAAAAGATAATCAAAGTATAATGTATTCTCAAAACATCAGAGTAAAGTCATAAAATCAATACTGCGGAAAACTCCAGGGGATGTAGTGCGATCAAGTCAGACCCTTCCATTTGGAACCAAAAGTACCTGAATGTAACGCATAGTTTCTGGTATGTATTTAACTCATAATTTATTTCATTTTATAGAGCAACTCGACGAGTTGGGAGCCCCAAACTCATCGAGTAGATATCATAAGGGCCGTACATTTTAAGTAACCTACTCGGCGAGTTGGGAGGCCTCAACTCGAAGTGTAGGCTAGCAGATATGAAACCCCAATTTTCGGGGTTTGCACCCTATTTAAACACCTTAGGGTTTGCACCCTATTTAAACACCTTAAACCTTTTCTCTTGGCCTCATTTCCAGCCTCCACTGTCCTAACCCTATATCTCGAAACCCTAGTGCTATTGTGAGAGTTTGTGAGCCATTTTAAGTGTTTTAGTGTGTGATTGAAGCCATTGGAAGAAGGAAAAGCTTGAGGACACAAGAAGGAGCATAAAGGTCCAAAATCCTTGCCTCATCCACAACATTTTGCTAGTATAAAGCTTGAACCTTGCTTTGTAGTTGTTTAGATCTTCTTTTAGGCTTATTTTGATTGGTTTGGGCCAAATATCATGGTCCTTGAGAGTTGGACGTCCCAAATGGGTTAGCACTTCTGATCTAAGGTCTTGAGGGGTTTCCATGGCATAAAGGTGCCAACTTTATCGCCATGGAAGTCCCATGCAACCTTTAGACCATCATTTTGGCCTCTTGGAGCTTCTAATGGCCATGCATGTAGAGAAAGTTGGGACTTTACGTGATCTTCTTGTCCTTAGAGTCCAGATCTATGACCTCGTGGCCTATCTTGTAGTTTTGGTGGTGTTTAGATTAAGACTTTGGCCTTTTGGGGTTAGGGTTCGAGCTTAATCCATTTAGGAAAGGTATTAATGGGTAAAGTTGGAAACTTTACCCTTCTAGAGGCATTTCCAGTCTAGATCTGGAGTTTAGGGTGTAGATCTGAAGAATAAGGGCTTAATGCATTAAGAAGGGTTAACAAACTGAAGAACTCGACGAGTTCATAAAGGAACTCGATGAGTTAAGGTCGAAGTGTCCCGACTCTATTTAAAAGGAAGAACTCGGCGAGTTGGATCGCGATTTCACAATTTTGTGATTCATGGGAACTCGGTGAGTTGATGGGTAAACTCGACGAGTTGAATCAACTCGGAGTGTTGACTTTGACTGTGACCTAGACTTGACTTTGACCATGGTTGACCTTAAAGAGTTATGAGTATGAAATGACAGCTAAGGGATTGTTTGGTTCATGGATTGAGTAGAGCTGATTCCAGGGTAGAGACGTTTCGGCTAGCATCCGACATTTGAGGTGAGTTTTCCTCCTGTAGGAACGGGTCGAAGGCACCAATGTCGACCCGTATGTATAATTGTATGTTCCGGATTTCGATCCGATATCGGGCGGTGCCCGATGAATGTTTATATGCTTTCCGGACTACGGTCCGATGATGGGCGATGCCCGAGGAATGTGTGTATGCTTGATGTCTTCGTGATTCTTGCATGTGTCTATGTTTATATGTTTTTTGGACTAAGGTTCGATGTCGGGCGGTGCCCGATGAATGTTTATATGCTTTCCGGATTTCGGACTGATGTCGGGCGGTGCCCGAGGAATGTTTATATGCTTATGTTATGTGATTATATTGTATGTGTATTTGATATGTTTATATGTATACCGAGCTTTGCTCGATGCCGGGTGAGGCCCGATTCCGGACACTGCCCGATGCCGGGCGGGACCCGATGCCCGACATTGTCCGATGTCGGGCGAGACCCGAAGAAGGGGCGGGGCCCACAATTTGTTTATATGTGATTATGTGTATGGTATGTGGTAGTTTGGGGAAGCTCACAAAGCTTTGTGCTTACGGTTTTCAGTATTGGTTTCAGGTACTTCTGGTAACAAAGGGAAGAGCTTGGGATGACTGCAGTGCACACACCATTATGTTTAGCCTGGGATGCTTACTCTGATGTTTTGATTTGGAAACTCTGATGATAATGTTTTGAGATATTTTGACTTATGTTTGATGATATGATTTTTATAACTATGGTTTATTTATGATTTAGAAACAAAAATTTTGGACCGTATTTTTGGAGTGTTACACTGAAACATTTAAACATAAAACTGTAAGCACAAAGCTTAGTGAGTTTCCCAAAATACCACATATCATACATAATATCACGGGTCTATTTCTGTAACGCCCGCAGATTCGGGCTAGTCAATTTAGAGACAATAAGCATCAAAAATGACTTTTTAATAGAATATTATTTAGAATAAATAATCTTAACCAAGTTATAGTATATGTCACAAGGGTTTCGTACATATAAAGAACGCCGAAATCCGAGTTATAACGAAGAAGTTATGACATGTCGAAGTATTACGGCAAAACCGGCACGGCACCGAGAATCGTAAAAAGTGAATTTTTGATAAACTACTTTTTAGCCTTAGAGATATAAATGAAAGTTGTTTTATACGTTAAACCGAGAACATACATAAAAAGAACACCCAAATCTGACTTTGTATGAGGAAGTTATGATTTTTCTAAGA